AAAAGAACACTACTTGATCTTTTCATCAGGCCAGATATTTGGGACTGAAGGTAATTGAATTCATCAGATTTATGGCAAGAAGTGTATTTCCTTGGTTCCCCCTTTAGACCCTCTAAGCTGCTGAGGGTTATTTTCAGCTGGCTCAAATTTTACGCCTGATTTCCTTTCAAACACATCGCCCATTAGAGTAGGTTCAGGTGACATAACACTTCCTGACACATGTTTGGCCATTCACCAGGTTGACATCCAGGTTGGGGGGGGATGTGTAATCAGGCAGTTGTGTGGGCCGTTGGGGGCAGCAGGTGTGAGAAGGTTCCTCGCCTGTCTGAGCCTCTGTTTCACTCCTCATTAGAAGCCTTGCAGACACCTGGCTGTCCAACAAAGAGTCCAAAAACAACATGGCCCCTCTAATATTGTGATTCAGATTTAATCAAAGACTCACATTCTTTTGTCGGCTTTTATCTGACCTAAGTAACTGGAAAGTCACCACACAGCTCTGAGTAACACATTAGATGTTTGTGAACATTTTCAGATAATGGCAGTATGAAAGCTCAGTGACCGAGGCTAATCAACAACCAACCTCTTAAAAGCTAATTAGGAGAATTACATCAAACCACAGTCAACTTTCTTGGCAGTGTACGGTTTTGATCATCGTGTTCAGCAACCACCGTGGAGTGCAGGGGACACAGCTGAGCCTTGATGTTTTAGTCTGTGCATTGAGTGTGGGTGTTTTTTAGAGCTCTGTGGTGAAGGTTTGTCTGTGGACTGGTGGTATGGGTCTGGTTGTACTAATGGTTCTGATAATGGTTGCATAAGAAAGTAGAATAAAACAAAAAGGTTTTATAAAATGTCATCTTTGGCTAATCGAGCAATACTTCCTCCTCATTCCTTGTTATGAAACATTTCTTTCAATTTGTTACTTTCTCGCAACAATATTAAAGGAACAGTTGGACGTTTGGGTGAATGTGCTTTCTTTCTGAGAGCTAAATAAGAAAATGGACACCACTCTCATGTCTGTAGGATAAATATGAAGCTACCACCAGCAGCCAGTTAGCATAGCTTAGCATAAAGACTGAAAACAGGGGGAAACAGATAAGCAAAAGCCTGTCCAAAGGTAAAAAAAATCCATCCTACCAGGACCTCTAAAGCTCACTAAACACAAAACAGATACTTTAGGGATACTGTTAGGTAAATCTTGTTACCTTTGGAAAGCCAGGCTAGTTTCCAGTTTATATGCTAAGTTAAGCTAACTGGTTGCTGGATGTATATATATATATATATATATGATAATATTCAAGGGAGAGACATGAGATATTGGTTTGAATTAGTCGTTGTGTGTGTGACTCAAACAGAACATAGACAAAATACATCACACAAGGGATTGTTGTATTTGTATCTCTATATTTTTATCTCACTGTATCAGTCTCACTAGCAGATGGTAGATGACCATAAACAAGTCAGCTAAGTGCCTTAGTACTGAATACTGGCTATATATGTGTATATATATACAGTCTAAATGGCACCGTAGATGAACCAAGTGCACTCGTTGCTGATAAGAACTGGATTGATTTAGAGAGAAGCCTCGTGCTTGTGGCAATATACAGTTAATGTTTATTGTCAAACACTTTCGTGCCGACATCAGTGTCTGTGTTCATTTTAGTAGCTTTCATCTTCTCATAGAGGCCTATTTGTCATTCAACCCTTTGCTAAATTTGTCTAAAAAAAATTACTTCTGCTACCTTTCAAGTCTGGCAAATAGGTTTTGGTGTTTAAATAGGCTATTTATACCAGCCTATCTTATTTCTGTTGATCATGAATATGACATCTTTCTGAGTCAATTTTAGGCCTGTTTATGTGGCTGGTGTTTTTCTGGCAGTGTCATACATAGATACAACTGTCTGTACTTAAATACCCCTATATATCAGCTAATTGTGTTGGCATTCCTGTTCAGCCAGAACATAATTTGCAAAATGGATTCAGTAAGCACTGGATCAATGAAGGCTGCCTTGCCATTTCTATAATAGAGTTCCCGCTGCCAGGAACCACACAATGGACAAATGTATGGACAAATACATATATATTTATATATATTCTGATTGGGTTCTCTATGGACCTAATTTTGGAGCATGCGGTAAAGCTGGGGAGAGAAGGAAAAGGACAGGACTGGTGTTTTCCAGGTGTCTTCTGTCTCTCTTTGAAGCCTGGTTTATATTCATTAAGCAGCTACAATTAAAGCCACTTTACCTATATAGTCCCATAGCCTTCTGGTTTGTCATTATATAGCATTAACCCCCCAGAGAGCAGGACACTTAAGGTGTCAGAGGTAATGGGCATGGTCAATCAGGAACTATAGGAACATCACTGATTGTTTGCCTTAAAAATAAAACCTGTAAAATTGCTTCAAGAATTGATTTATAATTCATTGATTTCTTGCTGCATAGTAAGCCATTCCATTTAGTAAGGACCCTGAGTGCAGTAATAAAACATTAAATTAAAAACAACCACCACTGTCTGACTGTCTCATTGTTTGCCTCTAATTATTATGCCTATTATAAATGAGATTAGCTCAGAAAATAGTTGGGAAAGCAATGAAGTATGATATTTCCTTGATTATCAAGTACATACTTCATTGCTTTCCCAACTATTTTCTGAGCTAATTGCATCTCTGGAAATGGTGGCTTTTCCAGTTTTTTATATTAATTATAATGTGTGACTGCATTTTGAGACAATCACAAATTTGCAAATGAAACAAATTATTTAAATATTAGTAAATTAATTAGTAAATTAGGTTTTTTCTTCTTCTTCTGCTCACTTTTTATTTATTTTATTTCGACCACTTGGGGGCAGCACAACAACCTGTAGACATAACACTTGCCTTATAAAGTTGTTGAGGTCAGTATTCTTGCTAATAGTGCCTTACTTTCACATACGGCATTAGTATTCATTTGGTGTCTTTGGCTACCTGACAAACGTAAGTCCAATATTCACTTTACTTTAAGCTCCTGAGGGAAATATGTGGCTCTTTAGCTAGTTTCTAAATGCTCCACTGTGTTCACCAGCTAGATGCTAACTCTGTTAGTCTGCTGTTTGTTGCTGAGTTGCTAGCATACAGTAGGTTTATCTGCAGTTTTTAAAACAAGACTGTGATAAGAGGTCAAACAACAGCAAAGTTGTGGGCTGTAAAAGTAGCTGTGTTAAAAGAGAGTCTATAAAGTGAGAGCTGGTAAAGCAGACTTCAAATGAACAACACTTAAACCAGCACTGTTGCCACATGGCCCACATCTATTAGCTCTAATGAGCCGAGCCAGGAAAGCCTCAGGAAAAGTTTGAAATTGCTGTATTTTTTATTTTTTTACCACATTTGTTTTATCTTAACACTTTCTGCCACATGAATTTAATAAATCAAATTGTGATGGTTTATTTATGTTCTTGTAAACAGACCAAAGGAAAAAAAAAAACCCTCCCAAAGCAACTTTTGTTCTGCCCTCTCTCACCCTAAGGCTTCTAGTTATTCCTATCCTCCTCACTCACAAGATATGAGCAAATCAAGCTCACGTATTTCAGTTTGTTCAAAAAGGTTCGATGTGGAGGTAGTGGAGACCTCTTGAAATCAAGGAGGTGCAGCTTTCTTGTGCAAGTGATATTATCAGCATCATCAACTCAAGAGGGTTTTTGATCATTAGTACCTCATTTATAGCAGTGCGGCCACTTATTGACAGCAGTCTTATTAATGGCTCTCAGGGTGCTTAAGCAGTCTGATGGATTTTAAGCCCAAGACAGTTGAATAGCTTTCATCATTTCATCTTATCTGTTCTATACAACTGCACAACATCCTCTTTTTTACGGCTCAGTATCTTCACCGCCCGAGTTATTTGCCGTAGTACCATTTCTCTCTGAGGGACTGTAAAACCAGAAACCTGTCATTCGGCTAACTAAAATGATGAGGGCTCCATAAAGCTGGAGCAGGAGCAATGCAGAGGCTTTTTGCAGCACGTTAGGCAATAAGACATATTGTGTGCGTTTTGCTTAGCATGTACCCGAAATCAGACCATTCCTCAATTTTCCTACCAGATAAAGGAGAAGGTGGGTTGATAAAATGACTCCCTCTTTTTCTTCCCTCTTCCTAATTGCACCATTAAGCACAGCACTGGTAGTATTATACGATTATTTGTTTTGAGGGCTGCGTTGCAGCTTATCTAATTGGTTCTGATACTCTGAGGTAATATTTTGAACTAACTGAAGACAGTGAGAACTATTGGGCCATTGGCAAATTGCCTCGGGGGGTTAGCTGAACAAATTCATACTTACACAGAAGCTGGATCTCTTCAGGCTTTTTGACTGAAGTAGCTATAATCCAACACCCAAGCACAAACTGGCTAATGCCTGCACCTGTGAGTGTGAATGATGTTGCCCCATCAAGTCTGCACTTGTGTGTAACGCAAAGCTTACCATCTGTGTCTGTATCTGTGAATATCACAAAAATATCTGTATTTGTATCTGTATATATACGAGTAGTGAGTGTTAGAAATGACCTACTACTGCATTTTCTGTGTTCAGTTGTTTTCTACTGTCATTTACACCCCTTACTGGGAATCCATATTAAGAGCGGCATGTTAGCGGCATCTAAGTGCTATTGAAGCGTTTGGTCCATTCAGTCCACACCAGCCCCGACCTCTGTTGGGCCGTCTCTGTCCTCAGAACCAGCTGTCCTGTCAGCTGCAGCTCTGGAGGAGCCGACCAGACGGTCTTCACCAGGCTGACTGACAGCAGAAATCTACTGGACAAAAATAGTGTTTGTGTGAAGAAAACAGCAATGGTTTTATTTACTGATTCACTGATTTCATTCTATAATGAAACCAGGAAGCTTATAACAACACTGGTTATGAATTATTATAGAGACTGTTCACAGCATATAAACAGCAGGGGATTTGTCTGACCAGCTGTCTTAATATTATGTGTCACCCTTTCTTTTTCTTCTCTACTCTCTTTCCTTACTGCAGCACTATGCTGAGATCCTGGGCAGCCTTCCCACCATGCTGGAACTGGGCTCCTGTTCGGTCAGCTCTCAGTCTCTGACAGGGGACGACAATGCTTTGGGGATACCTAGAGCCCCAACAGGGCCGGAGTGTCCAGTGGTTGGTCTGGGCATGGGGACGATGTGTGGTAGCAGCACCCCCAGACACCACATCCTTCCCTCGTCTCCAGCGGACTGTGAGAACTGGCAGAAGCATCGCACAGGACTGGCTGCAGGGTCAAGCCTGTTTTCTGAGTCCCACTCCCTCCTGCAGCCCCAAAGTATGTCAACCAGCTATGACACCCTCTACCTCCCACACATGTCTGGCCATGCTCCCCCTGTGCATCCAAACCGTCTCGGCTTGTCTCTCGATGTGGCCTCGACTTTTGAAGTTGGAGGGGGAATGCTGGGGGTGGATGGAGATCTGGCGGTTAGTCCCAATGTGATCAAGAGACGACGGGGCGGCCTGATCGAACAGAGGGACATTGTCAAAGCCCACCAGGCTCATAAGATTCAAAGCACACCACAGGCACGACGCAAGGAGTGGGAGTGAGTATGATGCTAATATAAATACAGAACCCTGGCTCTCTCTTTGTTCTACCTGCTAAATTATCCTGAACTTTATCCTAAATATTGTCTGTTTCACCAAAGTTTCCTTCAGGGCTGTTTTTATGTAATCAGGTGCTTTGAAAAGTATAGAGTCTAGATAGTATAGATATCTACTTCAGATCTCACAGCATAAAGAAACAGACAAAAGCAACACAGCTGCACACAATAATGTCTTGGCCATATGTAAATATGGTAACAGCGTTTGCTTTTTATTAAAATAGTACCGAACAAACATCACTTTGTTGTACATTCATAGAGATGTGTTAGAATCTCAGCGTATAATTCATTCCTGTTGCGCTGTTTCAGTTGTTTTATTTAACTTTAATTTTAACATACCCAGCATGTTAGTGCTATAAATAAATCTATTGTACTTTTTGTTGAAAACTCCATTCCCTTTCCCCTGTGGCACATAAAGTTTCTATTCATCACTTCCTGTAAGCAGAGATGTGAGTGTACCTGGGACTAGTGGTGGGCGGTATGACCAAAATCTTTTATCACAGTTTTTGTTAAGATTCTAGCGGTTTTACGGTATATCATGTTGTCACAATGCCATCATGTAATATATATGAAGGCTTTGATTACTATAAAGCTTTTCTTGGCACCACAAAATGATAGCAATTTTTATGGCAACAACATTGCTTCCTTTTACAAAAATAAAATATTAAAATAGTTATATCAACACCATAAACTCAGATAAAATACCCAACATTTTCAAGTATTCAAATAGATATTTCTTGTTCTATGACTTGTTGTTGTTTCAGTGATGCACTAGTATGGCAGTATATGAAAAATTCGGTTCAGCCGGTTTATCACTAAGCACTAATAGGAACCAACTTTTATTCTGACAAACTGAGCAAATCTATGGGGAAGCAACTAAAGTTGATAAAATGTTCAGCTTCGTTGCAGCCAGACTGTAACACTTAATTTGTGTAATCCAGTGATAGTATTCATCCAGCTGTCAGGTAGGGCTGGGTGATACTGACAAAATCTCTTATCACAGTAACTTTATGTTGATGTAGTACATTTTCTATACAGTCAATTGAGAATATAGAAAAAGTCTCACCAAGAAATTCAAATTTTGTGTTCACACCTGCCTTCACATTTCTCTCTTTAGGGTAGAATTAGACAAACATTTTCACACTTTTTTTCATTAGTAGTGTCAAACAAACATACGGTATGTGTTGACAGTAGTTACACATGAATATTTAATTAAGGGGTTTGTATATGTTCACAGTGCTGTTTAGTGTGTATGATTGCAGGTTTAAATGAATAGTTTCACATTTTGCGAAATACCCTTATTCACTTTCTGACTGAGAGTAAGATTAGATGAAGAGACCATTCTGCTAAATTTGCATTAACATTGGAAATGAGGAAACTGCTTGTATGGCCCTGTTAAACAGTAACATAATCCACCTAACAGCATCTTTAAACATCACTAACATATCTTGTTTTTAAAATCTGTTTTTCTGTTTTATGAGACTTCTTTAACATATAATTTAATTCTTTATTGGATTTTTACATTACAAAATACCAGCAGATACAAATGCGATTCACATTGGTTATATGCATCCAAATTACTATATACTGTCCGCTCTAGACATTATGTTATTTCCCTTCCCTCCCGCAAACCCACCTTCAGTGCGTCAGCTATCCCTTTGATATCTTTGTCTAATCTAATTGCGTCCATTGTATCCAACTCTGCATGTAGAACTGCTTATATTGTTTACATTCAAACATACTTATTTTCATACTTATGATAAAAAATATCACACCAGGAAAACAAAACAAAATATATATTACAAAGCGGAGAAACTGGGTGGGGGTAGAGGTAAGGGTTGAAGGGGAATGGGGTGTGGGTTGGATTAGGGAGGGATTATAGGACTATTTCTTGGCTGCGAGCCATTGAAAGGCAGCCAGCAGAGATTCAAGGAAATGTACACACCCAGCCAGGACATAGCCGGGTACATAAAGCCCCATAAAACAGCAAATAATTTTTTGTATGGATTAAACAAACATGATATAATGTATTAATTAGTGAACTAAAGACGTGCTGGTGGGTAGATTTCGTTCGCTGTTTCCCCTGCTCCCTGTTGTCTTGCTAAGCTAAGCTAACCAGCTGCTGGCTGTAGCTTCATATTTACTGGTAAGAACATTAGAGTGGTATCAGTCTTTTCATCACAACTATTCACCAGAAATACAAATTCCCCAGCAAAATAACAATTTCACAAAAACTAATCATTTAAATATGACACAAATCTTTGCTTTACGTGTTGCATCCTGCTGTGGAATGGAGAAATGGCGTCTCACACTAAGTGATCACTATAAAAGTCTTATTGCAGCACTATAAACTAATGATCATTCAGTCATTATCAGCATATTGTGTTTTGTTTTTTTTAATTTTTGGGGCTTTTTATTGCCTTTATGATAGAGACAGCTGAAGATAGACAGGAAAGGGGGGCAGAGAGAGGGGATGACACGCAGCAAAGGGCTGCAGGTCGGATTCAAACCCTGGGCCGCTGCAGCAAGGACTGAGCCTCAGTACATGGGTCGCCAGCTCTACCCACTGAGCTAACCGGGCGCCCAGCATATTGTGTTTTTGTGTGTATTGTGTGTGTGTGTGTGTGTGTGTGTGTGTGTTTATTGTATGCTCATTCACATGCTCATGCCACGTGCATGCATGTATGTGAATGTGCCTGTGTGGGTATGTATTTACTGGTTTCCTGCCCCGTGGCGCTGTGGAAGTTCTAGCTGATTATAGTGGTGATGCCCCCCCTCTGTCTCCCTGCTGAAGCTGGGGCTTCACCTCTAGTGGCGTTGGCACCCTCTGTGCCCCCCACCCTCTTTCCTCACCACAGGTACAGGATGCCACATCCCATGCTGAGCTATGTCTATAGCTAAAGAGACAGAGGGGAGCGTCACAGCGGAGAGAAAGTGGTTGGGGGGGTGCGAGGTGGAGAGGAGATGGATGACGTACAATGAATGTACTTGAAGAGATGAGGAGGGAAGGGATAAAATGTGAATTAGAAATAATAGGAGTAATTTTAGGTATGAGAACTCCTGCCTTAATTTGCATTTGATATTTAAGTCCATGTGACAGTAGTATTGATGTGGTTGAATACCAGATCACCAGGCCTGTAGAGATGCTCAGTCATGGACCAGATAACTATTCTCTGCCCTGCCTAGTATAATTATTACCATACTACATGACAGATCTCCACTTCTGTTGCTGAGAGGACAATGACCAGAGTGAGTCAGGATGCGTTACAACCATGAACATCCACCTCTCAGGACCACTTAGCAGCAAACCCACAGCCATCTGACGGGAGGATGGAAAATATGATGTTGCACCTGAGCCGAAGTGTGCACCTGGTTTTTTTATTCAAAGGAAACGTATGTGATTTCAGTAAAAAAAAAAAAAGAAAGTTTATGTGAGTTTTTGCTGCTGCTATCAACAGAGCTCATCATAATATAATTCAGTCCATCACTCAGTTCATACCTTGGTACAGTTTAGTCAGTAGCAGGATATCTGCTGCTAAAAGCTGCTTGCTGGATTGCCATGACATTTTGGATGGAAATTCGTAGTCAGTGAACTATTTCTATTAGTCCAAATTTCCCAGAAGATCATAAGAAAATGCTTTCTCCCAAGAGAACCTTCCCTTTGGCCTGTTTGTTAGTGTTTTACACAAGATAACAACTGGCTAATGTTCTATGAAATTTGCTGCAGATTTTCATATTATAGATATATCTACACTAACTTACTGATTGATCGCCGCCACCTTGGCTGAGTGTACTCATACTCCCCAGAGGAAGAACCCATTTGAGTCGGGTGTTGCCATGACCTGGTCTGAGGTCAGCCTGCACATTTTTAGCCCCCCCTGATGGATGGCTGTAAGTATAACAAAACCATCTGTGTACTGTTCCTTCTGAACCCTTTGTATTGTGGATGGTAATGAGCAATGAATGCAACTTCAATAAGCCACTGACTTTGTCTTTAGTCTTTTTTTATGTGCTTGCAACGGGGATCTTCTGAAACATTCACGTCACAGACAGAGCTCCACTTGAAAGGCATGTTGAAACAGCAAACGCTGCTTTGTAAATGAAGCAATTAAAGCCTCCAATTCTGGTATCTTGTTCTGCTTTTAGCAGCTTTGTGTCTGTACGTACGTACGTACGTACGTACGTATGTGTGTGTGTGTGTGTGTGTGTGTGTGTGTGTGTGTGTGTTTGTGTATGTGTGAGAGAGAGAGAGGGAGAGAGAGAGAGAATATGCGTGTATGGCACATGGCAATCTGGATAAAGACATCCATTCGGAAGTGCTAGATTAAATAATGGTACTTAGAGTTGGCGTTAACGTGGCCCTAATGACAGTAATCAGGCTGAATCAATCAGGCATTTCAACGGTATCAGGAATCGACATGGGTCACAAATAGAGGAGAGCTCCAAACATGTTTTGGTCTCTATTTGTCCTTGGTGCTGTGTGTGTTTTTGTGTGTGTGTTTCCATTTCTGAGGGAGAGAGAATGCGATGCCAAAATGCCATAATTTTTAGAGTTGTGGCGATGCATCAACTGGAAATGTTTTTGTTATTGACATTTCACAAACATGTAGCCCGACTAACAGAATTTGCCAGTAGAATTTAAAATAAAGTTCTGCAGATTTAATTATTTTAAACGATTTTTCTGTACAACACAAAACTGGTCCGCCTGGTTGTGATGTATCAGCAGCTCCATTTCCAGAAGGTCTCACTGAAGTAAAGAGAAAATCAGTGAAAGGAGAATTGCTCTGGGAGTAAGTTCCAAGGCAGAGATTCAAGGCAGTTAGAGTAGTTAAAGTAATGGCAGCATATGCTAAATCCATGAGTCATTAAACTGAACTTGGAAATTGAGCCAGTTTGCCACTTTGAACACCTTAGGATGACTTTTAATGGATTCTGTGTGTGTG